ATTGAAACATTCAAATATCTTTAATAAAGCAATACCAGAACATGAGAATTATCTATTAATTTTCCTATCAGAAAGGATATCCTCTACATTCCACACTTACTATATTTTTCATGTTGCTGTTCTACCGATCAGAAGACTATAATTGACTAATGCACAAAAATATTTTTAACTTAACATGAAATTTATTTTATTCTCTATAACCTTTACTCATTCTTGAGTCACCAATATATGTCATATGCACTGGCTAGCTGTGGAATATCTCAAGAAGATTTAGGCATGTTTCTTTGATGGAGGAATGCAGAGAAAAATGGCGTAAACAATGTGGAAACCAACACTGACACATGAAAGCTCTATAATAGACATGAAAGCAAGGAACTGTTACAGCAGAGAGCAGGGAGCAACTAGGAAGCTGGGAATAGGCTTAAAAGATTATTGAACTTGGGATCATGAGGGAACTAGCGTGAGGATAAGAAGCAGCATTTGCAAAAGTGGAACAAGCAGAGTGATTCTAGGAAGAGGGAACATTTGAGGCAAACTACAGTGGAGGATGCTTCATGGAAAGTTTGACCATGGGTGGTGTCAAAGTAATAAGATATAAAAGATCTTGTTTATATTATAATATCAAGGACACTGTGGAGCACAGTGGTCAAGAACCCAAGCTATCCAATCAGAACACCTGCTTTTAAATCTGAGTTAATCAATCATGTAGTCAGTGTGTAACCTCTGGCAAGTAGTTAGTTAAGCACTGTAAGCCTCAATTTTCTCAAACGTAAAATGGGAAAATTAATAGGGTTATTAAGAGGACAAACTAAGCTTGGTGGTGCGAATATGGGGCTTAGTGTGGGATGAGAGAGACCGTAAGATTGAGATGAGACTATTTGTGTATGCAAGGATGGATCCAAAGGAGGAAGTTAAGGAGGAGGCTGTTGATATTTGAAACAATACTTAATTGTTTTCATTCTTAAAGTAATATTTGATAGTAGTGGAATATTTCGGAAAAAACCTGAAAAGTCATTTACAATAATACAGATCACTCAGATTCCGCTACTAGATAATAACTATTGTGAACATAATGGTGACATAATTAAAATAGTCAGTTTACCTCCAGAAATACCTTATGGCTCTACACTTACCTAAGTCCTTTATTTTAATGCCATGTCAATAATTCGCTGTGGTGCTTTCATGAATGTTTCCAGCACATGTTTTGTTAAGCCTGTTGTTCAGTATTTCTATTGTCATTGATCTATTTCATTTTATTACTAGCTATTGCATATACATATACAGGAGAATTGTAAGATTTAGGAGAAGCTAAGATTATTTTCCTATAGAATGAGGGGATTAGATTATGATCTTCAAGAACTCTGACATTCTGTGCTTCTCTAAATGTGGCTTTTCTCTTTTTTAATGTCATACTCAAAAAGGCCTTCTCTAGAATTATTAATAAAAATTCTCCAATACTTTTTTGTTACTTTTATGGTCTTGGGTATTTTTTAGAGTTTAAGTTTTTGCTCCATCCAGAATGTATTTTTTCTATTTTCCCAGACATAAGGAATGGTTAGTTTGCCAGGGCTGCCACAGCAAAATATCACAAACTGGGCGGATTAAACAACAGAAATGTATTCTCATGGTTCTGGAGGCTAGAAGTCAAAACTCAAGGTGTCAGTGGGGTTGGTTCCTTCTAAGAGCTGTGAGGGAAGGATCTGTTCCGGGGCTTTCTCCTTGGTTTGTAGATGGCCACCTTCTCCTCATGTCCCTTCATATCATCTTCCATCTGTGTCTATTTGTTTCTCTGTTCAAATTTCTCCTTTTGATATGGGCATCAGTCGTATTGGATTGTGGTCCACCCTAATGCCCTCGAATAACTAATTACATCTGCAATGACCCTATTTCCAAATAAGGTTACATTCTGAGGCACTGGGGGTTAGGATTTCAACATATGGATTTTCAGGGGATACAATTCAGCCTGTAACATATGGATTCAATATTATTCTTTTCCCATTGACTATCCAATTGTTTCAGTACTTGTCATTGAATAATCCGTCTTCCTATTAGTTATTTGAATGCTGCCCTTGTCACTTATTAAATTACCATTTGTATATAGGTAGGCATTTCATGATTAACCTCTTCTGTTTTCCTGATCTGCCTGGCTTTTCTTGCTAAAGACAGGATTTTACATTTTTCTCCCAAATACCATGATAGAAAACTAGGTGTAGGTATAGTTGTACATACTATGGTAGAAACGATGGGAATGATCCCTTCAGATTAAACAGGAATATACTGTTACAGGGGTTAGTGTCATTCAAGGATGTGGCTGTGGATTTCACCCAGGAGGAGTGGCAACAACTGGACCCTGCTCAGAGGACCCTGTACAGGGATGTGATGCTGGAGAACTACAGCCACCTGGTCTCAGTGGGTAAGGATGCCTTCCCTGCATAACTCAGACTTGTACAATCAAGTGCCTTTCCTTATCAGGTGCTATGGTTAGGTGGTTCCTGGCATGTATAATGACTTTTATGATCTTCATTCCTCCCCACATAGAGGTCATTACTTTGCTAAGTGCCAACTGGACGCTTCATTGTAGACTTAAACTGCACCTTCTCTTCTTTCTTTAGTGCAATCTGTCCCAATTCCTCTGTGGTTTCCATTCAATAGGGCATCCAGTTTCCAAACCAGATGTCATCTCCAAGCTGGAACAAGGAGAAGATCCATGGATCATAAAAAGGGACCTGTCAAATTGGATCTATCCAGGTGAAAATCAGGCGGATGGGAGACAAGGGAAGTGAAATAGTAGTTTTTTTCATTGATTGGTGCCCGAGGCTTATGTTTCTATCCTTACTGAAATCTCTTGCTCTTTGATCCCACGCTGAGAGTTTAGTAAGCATTCAACAAATAATTAATCACTTCAGTAATTGTGAGTCTTTATAGGGGAGAGCTATTTCTTATTGATTCTCAGTCTCTGTTATATACATATATTGCATAATGCCTTTTATGAAAAGGCTTTAAGACAATAGAAAGCAAATTC